AAAACAAGAAGAGAACAGTCTTCCAGCTACCCACGGGTGGGCCTTATCCACTGCTCTTCATTCCTTCATGCCAATCTGGGCTTTCATTTGGAATAATTTTCCCTCCGCCTGGAGTTCTTTGAATATTAATTTCTTCAGCTCAGCTCTGTCAGAGGCCAGTTCTTTCAGATTCTGTTAGTTTGAAAATGTCTTTATTTCACTTTAGTTTTTGTATACTGTGTTTGCTGGATTTAGAATTCCAGGTGGACGGCTGTTTTCCTTCAGAACGTCTAAGATTATTCCGTTGTCTCCAGCCTGCATTGTTTCTGATGAAAATTTAGTTTGTATTCTTATGGTTTCCTTGTATATTGTAATGTGTCCCTTTTCACTGACCGCCTTTAAGTTCTTTATTTTTGCCTTTTCGGAGTCTGATAAGAGGTTCCCGGTGTATCCCGGTGATTCTCTGCACTGGTCTCCTCTGCTTCTCTTCTGGGAACACCAATTGCCTGTCTGTAACCTACATAACGCCATCCCATAGGTTACTGTGGCTTTCTCTGTGTATGAACCCTTTCTTCTCTTATATTCCATCTGCTGTTAATACCATCTAATAACTAATTTTACTTGTATCATTTTTTAGTTTTAAGATATCCCCTTGGTTCTTTTTTTTTTTTTTTTGGTCTCATATTTCCACTGAAATGTCCCCTTTCTTCATTTATTATAACCCCCTTTCCTGTAGATTCTGCAGTTTTATACTCAACTATAGGGTAGATGCTATAGATTTATACTACAGACCCCATATGGGTTTAACATTTTTCGAGGCATATTGAAGCTTCTGCTAGTTCCCATGTTGGGGTCATCAGTATTTCTACTTCTGTTGACTGTGGATTACATTTTCCTGGTTCTTTCCCTGTGTAGTGATTTTTATTGTATGGTGATAAATACTGGAAACTCTTGCCTCTATAACCTCATTGTTGAGGTAAGATGTTGAGTTTTGTCCTAGGAAGCAGTTAAATTACTGATGGTGCATCTTGTATTTGTAGAGACTGGATTGTGGGCTTTGTTAAGGTGCCTCTCTTTTGGCCTTTGCCTTGGATTTGAGGCAAATTCCTTAGTCTGGATAAATGTTCCCTATTTCCAAGGTATGACTCTTGATGTTTAATGGAGAGCACGAGGCGTTCACCATATCACTATCCTTGTAGGATCTGACCTTTGAACTCAGGACACCCCAAGCGGGCAGCTGCTGAAACACCGGCTCAGTCCTTGCAGATCTGCAGCTGATCCCTTGCCGTAGAATCACAGGAGTGCTTGTTTGTAGACAAACAGCCGAGGGGATTTTATGTCTAGATTTTGGGATTTCCCTCTCCATGGTCACTCCTTTCAGGGATTTCTCTCCTTGATTTCTAAGTTCTCTGAGAGCCAAACCATCCTCTGACTCTGCATGAGGGAGACTACAGGGTCCTGCAGGAGTCCTGCCTGCCCAGCACTATGGACATGGGAGTGCATTCGGGTCAAGTGAGGGGTCAAGCCCTGGGTTTCCCCTTCGAGGGTTGAATCTCCCACAGTTTCTAACTCAGAAAGGAATGAGGTGGTTGGTTAGATATTACTGACCTTCACTGGATCTGTGCCCCGAGTGTCCCCCAGGTTACAAAGACCCTGCTTACTCTACTTGGAGAGTGTATTAACTCACTTATCATTTAGGTCACCCACGTGCTGTTTGATCACACTTCAGCATTATATTAGCATCATGACTTGAAAAGTGTTGGTACAGGCACCGGTTCCTATCCCGGCTGCTCTACTTTCCATCCAGCTCTCTGCTAAGGTGCAGGCGAAAATGGCCTCAGTGCTTGGGCCCTTGCCTCCCATGTGGGAGACCCAGAAGAAGCTCCTGGCTTCTGGCTTCAGACTGGCGCAGCTCTTGCCTTTGTAGCTATTGGAGGAGTGAACCAGCAGATGGAAGATCTCTCTCTCTCTCTCTGGAACTCTGCCTTTCAAATAAATACATAAATACATCTTTAAAAAAAGAAAGAACAGTGTTGGTGCACTTCTGAAAATGTGTAAAAGAAATTCCCTGATTTTTAGGAGGCTAATCTTCCTCAAATGCTAAGTACTACAAAACCGAATCATGTTATTAATTTGCATTTTGTTGGGAGCTACAAAGTTTGATCATCAAGCTAATTACAGATTATGCTACGAAGGAAATATTTTTATATGCACCAATTTTATTTCGAATACTTTAATATGAGATTTGAAAAAGTCTTTTTCTTTTTTTAAAAAAGAACCTAGGTAACAGAACAAAGAGAAATAAAACTTCCATATAACTGCATTATCTACAACTAATTTAAAGTTTCCTATCACTAACGTTCCTAACTATGGGGTTTGCATTCAGAATGGGGTTTACACTTCAGTTGACTGCTTTTAGAGAAAGCGACGCTCGCAAGGTTTGTTTAACCTGAACTTCTTATTATGTATGGGATTTTAAATGAGTTGAGTTTTCTGAAGTCCCACAAACTGTTGCCACTTTTGCTTTTTTTCAATATTTTAAATGATTTATCTTGTTGTTTCTTGAAAGACTATTTATTGCCTCTGCTCTCCTGCTAACTTTACACACCACTTTATTATACTTAGTGAACTACATGAGTGCATTCTCTCTGTAAACTTCAACTTGTTGCCCATAAAATTTTCTCAACCTTTTCAGAACCTTTTGTGCTGTATTTAAAAACTAAATATTCTGTCTGTTCTTAAGGACCCAAATGTCCAGGAAATTATCTTGTTTATAATTAAAAAATGTACCAACCAATAAAAAGCGATACTTTGTTTTGGGGGTGGGCATTTGGCCCAGTGATTAAGATGAAGCTTCGGAGACCTGAGTCTTCTATGGGACTGCCTGAATTTAAGTTCTAGATCTACCAGTTCCAGCTTCCTATTAATGTGTGCTCTGGGAGGCAGCAGCAGGAGTCAAAGGAGTTCACGTGGGACACCTGGACTGAATTTGGGAAGTGAACAAGTGAGTGGGAGTTCTATTTCTCTACATCTTAAATAAATCTTTTAAAATAATCATGCTTTGGGGCTGGTACTGTGGCGTAGCGGGTAAAGCCGCCACCTGCAGTGCCGGCATCCCATATGGACACTGGTTCAAGGCCCAGCTGCTCCACTTCCAATCCAGCTCCCTGCTAGTGCAGCTGGGAGAGCAGGGGAGGACAGCCCAAGTGCATGAGCCCCTGCACCCACACTGAAGACCTGAATGAAGCTCCTGGCTCTTATGTTTGGCCTGGCCCAGCCCTGGTCATTGTGGCCATTTGGGGAGTGAACCAGCAGATGGAAGACCTCTTTTTCTCTCTTCCTATCTCTTATTCTCTCTCTGTAACTCTGCCTTTCAAAAATACATAAGTCCGTTTTTTTAAAAAAAGGAAAAAAGTATTCAAAGAACAAGAAAATATAAAAAAATATATGCATGGGGCCAGTGGTGTGTAGCTTAAGGGATTAAGCTGCTGGTTGCAATACTGGCAGCCTGCATTAGCCATATGGGATGCTGGCACCGCAGGCGGCAGCTTAACCCACTACACCACAGCGCTGGCCCCCAATATTTTCCTTTTTTTTTCCAATTAGCTATTTCAAGCCTAATTATCCTATGTGGCAGTTTAAATGTCTGAAATGGAACAACTCAGGCTACTAACTATTGTTTTTGCTACGTCTCACTCATGGTGGTTTATATCTTTGTTGTATCTGGAGATTTTTATTTGGAGCCCACATGTGTGAGCCTCACTTGGGATGCTTTCCTTTCGAGAACATTAATGTTTGCTCCCACGGTGAGCCAGGGACACTAATATCCTGGCAGTTCGAACGCCCTTTCTGTCCTCCGTCTCAGCTCAAGTTCCAGGTTTGGTCCCTCGACCGCAGCAGCGATGAGGCTAACCGTGCTTCCCCGTTTCTGGTCTGCCTCTTGCTCTGCTGTTCCCTGTCCTTGCCTCAGCGCACCGCTCCTTCGTCCCCTTGGGGATTCCCTCACTGCTCTGGGGTGGGCATTTGGCACGGGGGCTAAGACACTACTATGAAAGCCTGCGTGCCATACGGGAGCACCTTCGTCCCAGTCCTGGCTCTGGTCCTAATTCTAGCTCCCTGCTAGCACACACCCAGTCAAACAACAGGGGCGTGGCTCAGGTACTTGGGTCTCTGCCACTCAACTTTGGCTCCCAGCTTCAGCTGGGAAATGTGGGCATTTGAAGAATGAACCAACAGATGGGGGATCTCTCTCTCTCTCTCAAACACATACAGAAACGAGTAGAAAAATAACAAAGAACTGTGACCTTCAAGAACTTGTACACAACTTTCAGAGCCAATGCCAATTCAGAACCCTCCTGAACCTTGGCGACCCCTGAGTCACTAACCAGCCTGGGTCATTCACCCCGGCTGCTCCCCTCCTGTGTCCACTCCAGTTGGCGGGGCTGTGGCTGGCCCACGGTAACCTGACCACCAGTTGCTTATCTGGCCACATACAGTGAGCAGACCATCCACCCACACAAGTGTCTATGGAGAACGGTTGGGCACAGTGGGGACGGGACAGAGGGTTAGCGGAGAGCACCTTACAGCCTGCAAGGCTGGTGTCCAGAGGGTTTCTCCGGAGCTCTCCCGCCTTGAAGGATTCTTGTTCTGCATCTGGCTGGTGGCATCTAGCTGACACCTGCCTGCCAGCCCTGACTCTTGTCTTTCCTGCTTCTTCCAACAGGCATTAGGCATTGCCCCTTGGATCCCAGCCCCGCTGGGGAAGAAACTCCAGGCGGGGGCGAGGTGAGAAGGGGCGAGGGGACGAGAACTCATGTTCTGTAGTGGGGGGTGGAAGGAAACACAGGTGGCCCTGGAGAGGCGGCCCTGGCGTGGCCAAGTTGCGGCTTTCATTGTCTTTGGGGGCGGGGAAGGTAGGTGCGGGTTGCGGGCGCCACAGGTCGGCCGGCTTCCCCGGGCGGGGCCCGGCTCTGGCGGCGCCGGCTGCGGGGCGCGGGGCGCGGGGCGCGCGGCGGGAGCGGCTGTGCGCGTCGCGGCCCCCGAGCGCGCGAGGCCTGCTGAGGAGCGCGCGCCCGCCCGGGCTCGGTGCCGGAAACCCCTCCGCGGCTGCCGCCGGCACCGAGCCGTGGGGACCTACAGTAAGTGCGCTCGGGCCGCGGAGGCCCGGGGTGAGGCGGTGGGGCCCGCGGGGGGCTGTCTTCCTCTCCCCGACGCCCGCCTTTGTGCGGGGCTCGCGGGAGCGGCGGCGGGGTCTCCCTCGCCCCGCGGGCCCTTGTCCCTTTGCTGCACACGCGCGCTGCTGCCCGACAGGTGGCCTGTGGAGCCTGCCCCGGGAGGGATGGGGCCGCAGGTGCAGGAGACAGTGCTACGGGTGGGGGTGGATGGCAGCCGTTTCGGGGGCACTGTCCCCAGGCCCGGCGCCGGTCCTCAGGGAGCCGCGAGCGTTGGGCGCAGAGTTCAAGGTTTCGCCTGGAGTCCTGGGTCGGGATTGCGCCCCGCTTTCTGGGGTGGGGTGGCCTGTGCTCCTCGCGGGCAGCTGCCGCCGTGGACAGAAAAGCGACCGCGTGCGGACGTCAGGTTCGAACTCCCGACCGGGAGCGTTCTGGGATGGGGTGGCCTGCCGGGCCTGCCTGTGGCATCCTGGCTCCGGCGCTTTCGCAGGTTGGAATCGCGACTGTGTGAATCTGGGTAACTCAGATGTTGTCAAGGGGAGTTCAGAGCCAAACGCTGGAGCCACCTGCGCCACACCCAGCATCTGCGTATTGGGGACTTCATTAATGAGCGAATGTGCTGGTTCCAGTGGCGCCTTTGCAAGGTGTTTTAGAGAGGCGAGAAGGGACACGTGTGGGAAGATGAGGGCCAGGAGTTCTGCAGTCATTTATCATATTTCTTTTAAACCAACTGTTATTCCAGCCAGCCAAGAACACAACTTCGGTGGCCAGCAGAGAGCCTGGGTTTGAGTCCTGGATCAGACGTGCGTTTCCCGTCTCCAAATTCACTAGCAGTAGGACGAGACTCTGTCCGCACTTTCTGTCTGCAGATTAGAACAAGGCTTTCATAGCTCGCAAGGTGATGGATGGACAGGCGGCTGATCCACGGTCAAGGGTGGTTGCGCTGCCTCTCTCTGACTGCAGCATTTTGTGCTTCGTGTGTGCAGGTGCCAACATGCAAATAAAATGCAGATCAGGTGTTTTCAGTAAAATCTGCTACTCTGGGCCGACTTCCCCTTTTCTGCTGGTTCATGCAGTGTCCAGTTCTTCCTCTTCTTTTTACCTCGGTGCAAAGAAATAATGGGCTTAGGCTTCTATTAACAACGCTAAGATTCAACAGCAAGGCAGATAATCAGATCTGCCCTTGTTCTTGCATTTGGTAACGTGGCTCAGGGTGTCTACAGGTGATTTTATGCGTCACCTGAATGCAGTGGGTAAAGATGAGACACTGGTATCCCAGAAGAAAATTCTTTGATCAGGTTATTTTTTATTTTTTTGACAGGTAGAGTTATAGACAATGAGAGAGAGAGACAGAGAGAAAGGTCTTCCTTCCGTTGGTTCACTCCCCAAATGGCCGCCACAGCTGGCGCTGTGCCGATCTGAAGCCAGGAGCCAGGTGCTTCTTCCTGGTCTCCCATGCAGGTGCAGGGGCCCAAGCACTTGGGCCATCCTCCACTGCCCTTCTGGGCCACAGCAGAGAGCTGGCCTGGAAGAGGAGCAACCGGGACTAGAACCCGGCGCCCATATGGGACTAGAACCTGGGTTCCTGGCACCGCAGGCAGAGGATTAGCCTATTGAGCCACGGCGCCGGCCGAGAATTTTCATTTCTAGCAAGTACAGGGATGCTGAAGCTACTGGGTCCCCTGCCCTTCTCCTGACGGCTGCAGGTGAGCACCTAACAGGTGAGGGGCAGGTCAGAGCAGGCTGACAGTCGCTTCCCCAGCAGAACATAGTGCCACAGTGAGGTGAGTCCATGGCCTCATTGTGGCGGAGGTCACCGTATGGGTCACCATACTGCCTTATGGCTATCGCTGGCTGCTTTCTCATTTTTCTTTTTCTCCGAAGAAATTCCCCATCAGGGAAAAAAATTGGTTCTAAAGCTAGGCAAAATCCGAGTACTCTACTCCTGTCATTTCTGGGAGGAATCTGGAAAGAACTTTTAAAATGAATGTGGTATGTCTAGGCATGTAAACTGCAGAGACTTAAAATATTCACTTGGAATCTTATGACGTTCACAAAAAGAGAGGGTGGACAACTCTTCTTCTGCCCAGGTAGCATGCTGCCTAGCGACAGGCTCCGGAGGAGAAACAGGGGGCTTCAGAGCCTTAGTTTGGATTTCAGTGGATTATCACCAAATGATAAGGAATTTTGAGATCCCAGTTTGTTATACAAAGTGGTGGTTATTGTGTATTACCGTTGATGGCCTTTCTGGGGTTATAACTGTTTCTATTTATGGGTCTTTATTTCTGAGGTCACTTTTAGTGTGTCTGTAAGAGAAATGGTCTCAGGAGCAGCCAGGCATGTTTGGGCAGGTGGAGGTATCTAAGTGTATTATGCCCAGGAGTCTTGGGCAGTCCGTAGGTGAATACTGGGCCTGGGGCTGTTGTTGATGAGCGTTTTTGGCCTGACGGGGGAGACGTTTGGTCTCTGATAGGCTGCTTCTGGTCTACCAGCTGATCCCGAGTCCCCTCGGTCTGGTCAGTCCACAAGCTTATGGCTGCTTCCTCATGAGCAGTCTCTATCAGTAGCCAATTCCTTCCCCTCTACAACAGTATTTCAAAAGTTCATGGAAAAATGCAGTGAAAAGAGAAGTTTGTTTTGGTGCAACAAATTTGAATTCCACGCATGTGAGGGAATCTTCAAAGTGTTCATTGAAAATGTGTATTATGAGGCCGGCGCCGCGGCTCACTAGGTTAATCCTCCGCCTAGCGGCGCCGGCACACCGGGTTCTAGTCCCGGTCGGGGCGCCGGATTCTGTCCCGGTTGCCCCTCTTCCAGGCCAGCCCTCTGCTGTGGCCAGGGAGTGCAGTGGAGGATGGCCCAGGTGCTTGGGCCCTGCACCCCACGGGAGACCAGGAAAAGCACCTGGCTCCTGGCTTCTGCCATCGGATCAGCGCGGTGCGCCGGCCGCGGCGGCCATTGGAGGGTGAACCAACGGCAAAGGAAGACCTTTCTCTCTGTCTCTCTCTCTCACTATCCACTCTGCCTGTCAAAAAAAAAAAAAAAAAAAAAATGTGTATTATGAAAACCATGCAGGGATTCAAGATTCTTTTGCAACCAAATAAACTTATTTTTCGACTCTGTTTTCCCATAAGCTTTTTGAAGTACTCTCTTCATCCTTGTCGCCAACCTACAGTTTCCTTTCTCTCCTTTTTTTTTTTTTTTTTTGACAGGCAGAGTGGACAGAGAGAGAGACAGAGAGAAAGGTCTTCCTTTTGCCATTGGTTCACTCTCCAATGGCCGCCATGGCTGGCGCGCTGCGGCCGGCGCACCGCGCTGATCTGATGGCAGGAGCCAGGTGCTTCTCCTGGTCTCCCATGGGGTGCAGGGTCCAAGGACTTGGGCCATCCTCCACTGCACTCCCGGGCCACAGCAGAGAACTGGCCTGGAAGAGGGGCAACCAGGACAGACTCCGGCGCCCTGACCGGGACTAGAACGCGGTGTGCCGGTGCCACAAGGCGGAGGATTAGCCTAGTGAGCCGTTGCGCTGGCCCTTTCTCTGCCTTTTTCTGCTCCGTCAGCAGTGCACACTCTGAGCTCAGTACCTGAGGAATAGGAGGAAGGGGCACCTGGGAAGGATCCTCAGCAGTGAAGGTTGGGAACCATGGCCAGCCAGTTCCTTGAGATGCTCAGGATTTAGGAGGCAGACACCGTAAAGGAGAACTGCTCAACTCTGAGTGGAAACGGACTGTAATTCTTAAGCAAAATTCCTTCTAATATAGTAATTATTAAAAAGTTTATAAATGATGCCAACTAAATATGCAGACAAAGAAGAAATTACTTCTTTGTAACTGTCATAGTAGCAGTTGCTTCAAGCAGGACTCTTTCATGAATGCAGAACTCTTGTGTGAACATTTGAAGGGGAACAGCATATTTATAATATTAAAGAATTTTCCTACACATTACTAATTGCAAAAAGGAGATAAACCTGGACTACACTCCTTTAACCAAATAAAGATAGCATCACCAATAATGAAACAGAAGGGAGAGAGAGGACACAGTGCACTTACGCTAATAACACATAATCATGATTCTTTTAGTTATATTTATTTATTTATGTTTTAAGCTTTTTATTCAGTGAGAAAGATGCATAGGAGGGTGACGGTCCTGTCTAAACGGAGAGAGGGAAATCTGGATTCATACTGAGTACCAGGAGCCAGCCGCGTGGAGGAGCATCTAGGCCAGGAGGCATGGGGCAGGTGGCCCAAAGGCCACGTGCCCTGGAGACGCAGGGGCCCTGTGGACCCACAATGGCAAGAAGCCAAAGAGGAAAAAAGGGCTGGGCACACTCTTCCCAGGCTTTTAATCCACTTCCAAAGGGGATTCTTTTTATATATATATATATTTATTTTATTTAGTTTGAAGAGTTACAGAGAGGGAGAGATGGAGAGAGAGGTCTTCCATCTGCTGGTTCACTCCCTAAATGGCCACAACGGCTGGAGCTGAGCTGATACGAAGCCAGGAGCCTCTTCTGGGTCTCCCACATGGATGCAGGGGCCCAAGGACTTGGGCCATCTTCCACTGCTTTCTCAGGCACATTAGCGGAGAGCTGGATAGGAACTGGAGCAGCCGAGACTCGAATTGGCGCCCATTTGGGATGCCAGCACTGCAGGTTGGGGCTTGAACCCATTGTGCCACAGTGCCAGCCCCCATAATCATGATTCTAATCATGAGAAAATTTTGGACAATTCTGAATTGAAAGACATTCTGTGAAAACAAATGTCAGAAATATCATTATGTTCTTAGAATTGTGTCTACATATCGCATTGAATCTGTTAAAAACTAATTAAAAATTAAAATAAAAATTAAAAAAAAAAGTCCGTGTTAGGAAAGATGGCTGAGGTGCAGTACCAGATGGAAGGAGACTAAAGGGAGAACTAAATTCCATGGGTGAGTTTAGATGAGATCCTAGGTCAGGGGGAAAATTC